CGTTGTGAACAGACCACGACGTCGGAATAGGTCTGGGGTTGCCGGGGGGCCTCCGGAAATCTTCTGGAGCTTCCGAGGACTTTCCGTGGCCCCTGGAGGGCAGCCAAGGGCAAGGGCTGGAAGCCTCCCCGAGGGTTCCAGGCTGGAGACCTTCAGGGGCCCCTGCTTGGGCCTCTGGAGGCCCCAAGCAGAGGCCAAAGACGTCCATACATCCAGACACCCGCCGTCAGGTTTTTTCAATGCGCGGCTCCAAAAAAGTCGCGGCCCCTTCCCCAGGGCCAACTTTTCGACCCGGATCTATGTTTGATGACCCTGGGGCCCGACACATCTACGTATTGCTTGCTTTTCTGTTCTTTGTTTTTGTTCCTCTCTATCTCTATCTATAGCGCCGTCCCCAGGAGCCGAGGCATCGACGGAACACGACCGGGTTGAAAAAACACATTGTCAGATATTTGGGCACCCCGACCCGCGATACGACGACCCGTGCTCTCCAGCTTCCACACCTTCCGCATGGCAGCGCCGCTGCGACTGCGCCGTCGTCGTCGTCGTCGTCGTCGTCGTCGTCGTCGTCGTCGCCGTCCTCGTCGTCGTCCTCGTCGTCGTCGTCGTGGTCGTCGTCGTCGTCGTCGTCCTCGTCGTCGTCCTCGTCCTCGTCCTAGTCGTCGTCGTCGTCGTCGTCGTCGTCCACCATTCGGGGTTGGCGGCGCCGGCCGCGAAGCCTCCGCAGTCATCGGAAGCCTGGGCACCCCGCCGCTCGACCCGAACGACCTCCACCTTCCACGCCTGCCGCACTGCAGCGCCGCCGCGACCGCAACGGCGACCGCGTCGTGGCGGCGCCTGCTTTTTGTTGTTGAGCTCAACGCCCGAACAGCCTTGGCGAAAAAAGCACAGCAGCGGCGGCTGGGAAACCGCTGCTGGCAGTGAGGGAGACCTCACTGACCGAAAGAGTACCGCCAGCAGCCCCATGGGCTAGGAGGCACTGGCCACACGACGGGCGACCGTCCCGTGGCCAGAGCAAGAGAAAAACAGTCCAGCGCCGCAGCAGGGCATACGGTAGGTCGTGCAGGTCCAGAGGGCGGACGTCAAGGGGACGACGACGACGACGCTGGCGACGGCGACGACTGTACGGTCGACCCCATACAAGACGGGCGCACGATGGGGAAGCAGGGGCCCTGGAAGGCCATGTCGACGTTCTGCGATCGAGGCGCGGTCAGCGAAAGTGGTCAAGGAGGGGCCGAAGGGGAAGGATGCAAGGGTAACCACCCTGGGAAATTGCTCATCCTCAATATGCGGTTGACTGTACTGTACTGTCACGAGCGTTGTCCGATTCGGTAATCCCTCAATGCCTCGAGTGCAATGAGAACCAATATCGAACCGCGAAGCCGGATCGAAATTGAAATCGCGTCGAATCGTTTGGAATTGGTGTTCAAACCAGCGATCGCCACATCGGCTCAGAAGTGAGAAACTGGAAGCCAGATCGGAATCGAATCGAACATTTTTTCGAGTCGGACCGAAATCGAGACATTCAGAATGTCGCGACAATCGATGTGGCCTGCCTAAAAGTATTTGAAAAAGAGCGACGTGCTCTGAGTACTCCTTGTGGAAGGAGGAAGAGAAGGCAAGAAATCCCATCAACACAGTGAGGCCAAAATTATGCTCAAAATTGCCTCTGGTTGCGTGCACATCAGGCATGATACGAGGGGCCGGAATGGAGGCGGTTGTGTGCAGTGCTGATCGGGAAAAAAACGCACCACGTGCGGACAATCACGGAAATCGTCTAAGCGGTCGCCGCAGGGACCGACTACGAACAAAGCGGAACCAAGAAGCCGGGAGCAAAGAGAAAGAACAACGACGAGGAAGAGGACAAAGAGGAGGGAGAGTGGGCAGCGCGGTCGCCACAAGCGGCTGTCGCGCGCATCGGCTGCTTAAAACCCCGCCCAGACCAAGAGTAAGCTAGACAATCGCTGATCTCTAGGAGAATGCGGCATGATACAAAAGCGCCCATATTCGTACCAACGAGCAGCAGTGCACAGCTCTAAGAGCGATAGGGACTGCAGAAAAAGTGAATTTCGAGAGACATGAGGCCGGTGAGTAAGCAGAATGCACGAGCCGAGGGGGCATGGGATGGGGGAGCGAGAAGGGGAGAAGATAATGGAGGGGAAGAGACAAACCAACACCAGGAGAGCGACCATGCGATGCTCGCCACGCTTCGGAGACAATTGCTGCCAATGGCGGGTGTGCCGCGCAAGCGTCTCGAGCATTCTGCCACCAAGCGCCGACCGCATCCGCAGAAGCGTCGTTCCAGGTGGCGCGTAAGAGCGGCCCAAGAGGGCCTCAATATGCCATTCTTGAGCCTCCCACGGGGGGACCTTAATTTTTTGCCCCCCTCTTTTTGACTCATGGAGGCCAATATGGCCCCAAGACGCCTCCCAGACCCATTCAAGGCGCCTCAAGAGGGCCCCAAGAACCCCAACAGAAACACCAAAAGGGTTTCAAGAACGCCCCAAGAGACCCCACGGAGGCCCTAAGAGAGCCCCTAAGATGGCCTTCGTCGTACTCCAATAATCTCTCACAGCAACATACCTCCAAAGCCCGACTTCTCATCATCCTTTTCATCGTCCGTTCCTTTCCTCCTCCTTTTCTGCCTCCTCCCTCCTCCTCTTCCTCCTCCTCCTCCTCATGTTCCTCCTGCCGCATTCCTCCTCCTCCTCCTCCTCCTCATCCTCCTCTTCTTCTTCCCCCTACTTCTCCTTCTCTCTTTTTCCTCCTTCTCCTCCTCTTCCTCCTCCTCCTCTTCCTCCTCCTACCTTCAAAATGGTCCCAGGAACTCGAGCATGGCTTATGAGAGTTCCCGACAAACCTCCAATGGGCCTCAAGACAGCCGCGAGACAGTCCAAGATCGCTGAGCATGGCTCAGGATAGCCTCCGACAGCCTCTCGCCGAACATGGCCTACGACAGCCTCCAAGAGGCCTCAAGAAAGCCACCCGGTCGTGTCTGGATGGGCTGGTGGGGATACTTTTTGGTCGCGGCCGCAAGCGAGCGCGCAGTCGGCGTCCGAAGTCAGCCCGGGCAGCGAGCGAAACTAATTACCTAGCGCGCAGTAGCGGCCGCCGAAGTTGCCGCCGAGGGACGCCGGGGACTGACGGCAGAGCTGCAAACTGAGCCAGGTGTGCCAGGCGGCAGGACTGCAACCACCCCAGGGGCGAGACCACCAGGAAGGCAAACGAATTGTACCTTGTCGCGCCAGGCGCCAGGGGTAAACGTGCCACTGAGCAACACGGGATAGCGTGGAACTGGGCGAGCAGTCCAGCGTACCTGTGTCGCATGCCACCGGTGGCAACCTCAAGTGGGTGAACAAGAAGGCGAAACCAATCATGAGCAATCCACGTGGAGGTGCATCCCACCACTGCAAGGCGGCAGCTGCAAACACGGCCAGGCTGCGGCAGTATCTGGGGACCAGGGGCCAGGAACATGCAAGCATGCTAGCTGGAACTGGTCGACGTGCTAGTCACCGCTGGTGGGGATTTTTGTTCGCGAGCGCGCAGGGGTTCCAGGCGCCGTCAGGGAATGAATTGCCAGCTAGCAAAAGCCGAACTAATCGCTGGTGGGGATACTTTTTACTCGGCGGCTCCAAGGAAAAGCCCAGGGAACGGTCACAACGTCTGGGCCACGGCGCATTGTACATTGGCGATCCAGCCGCCACTGTAGGCAGCAAACCGCACCTGCAAACGAGCTCGCAGTTGCACATGCTCAGTACACGTCCTGAATTCGCAGGCGACGCACAGAGGCGCAGCGCTGGTGGGGATACGCGAAGGGTCAAGCATTCCCCCCGACCCCCAAGCCCCAATCCGACGATGCTGAGTTGGCGGCGCCCACAAGGGGGTGGCGCGAAGAAGGGAGCCTTTTAAGACAGCGGAAGGGGCCTCTTGGGAAGCAAGGGCAAAGAAGGAGGATGAGGATGATGATGAGCAGGCGGATGAGGAGGAGGATGAGGAGGCGGAGGAGGATGAGCACCAGGAGGAAGAGGAGGAGAAGCAGGAGGAGGAGGAGCAGGAGCAGAATGAGGAGGAGAGGAGAAGGAGGAGGAGGAGGAGGAGGAGCAGGAGGAGCAGGAGCAGCAGCAGGAGAAGGAGGAGCAGGAGGAGGAGGAAGAGGAGGAACAGGAGGAGGAGGAGCAGGAGCAGGAGCAGGAGGAGGAGGAGGAGAAGGAGGATGAGGAAGGGCCGTCTTGGAAGGCCCCGACGGCCTCCAAGAATGCCTCTTAGAAGCCGGCCGGGCTGCCTACGAGGCTGCCGTGCCTCCTTCGAAGTCCCGCCGCCTTTTCGGACATCTGACGATGTGATTTATGCTTTTTCAGTGCGCGGCCTCAGAGTCCCGACCACTTCCCCGTGGGTAGTTTTCCGTCCCGGATCCATTTCCGATGGTCCCAGGGCCCGGTAGCAGTTTCCAGAGGCCAGAGGCAGAAGTGAAGGATCAACCGCCCGGATTGAAAAAATGAGATCGTCTGAGATCTGCAATCAGAGGATCCCACCCTCGCTCCACCCCTTCCCAGACCCCTGGAGGGCCCAACCAACTCCACGATGCTTTGCATCCTGGGCCGTTTCTTACGGTCCAGGGTCAGCGAGGTCCCCCAAAGGCCGAACATAACAAACAAAAACACGCTGTTGTGACTTTTTTTCACGCCGCGAGGGGTCTGGGGAGGATCGAGGATCGACATGGAGGAGCAGGAGGAGGAGGAGGAGGAGGAGGAGGAGGAGGAGGAGGAAGGAGGAGGAGGGAGGAGGAGGAGAGAGCGAGGGAGAGGAGGAAGAGCGAAGAGGAGAGGAGGAGGAGGAGGAGGAGGAGGAGGAGGAGGAGGGGGGGAGGAGGAGGAGGACGAGGAGGAGCAGCAAGAGCAGCAGGATCGAGGAGCGGGAGGAGGACAAGGAACAGAAGCAGGAGCAGGAGCAGGATCGATGGCCGACGTGGGAAGGATGAAGGAGAAGGAGGAAGAGGATGAGGATGAGGAGGATGAAGAGGAGGAGGAGGAGGAGGAGGAGGAGGAGCAGGAGGAGGATGAAGAGGAGGAGGAGGATGAAGAGGAGGAGGAGGAGGAGGAGGGAAACGAGGTTGAGGAAGAGGAGGAGGAGGAGAAGGATGAGGATGAGGATGGGGATTATGATGGTGATGATGCTGATGATGATGACGAGGATGATGATGATGAGGAGGAAGAGGAGGAGGAGAAGGAGGAGGAAAATGAGGAGGAGAAGGAGCAGCAGGAGCAGGAGCGGGATGATGATGATGATGATGATGATGATGATGATGGTGATGATGATGATGATGATGATGATGATGACGATGACGATGATGCTGATGATGATGATGGTGATGATACTGATGATGATGAGGAGCAGGAGGAGGAGGAGCAGGAGAAGGAGGAGGAGTACGAGAAGGAGCAGCAGGATCAGGAGCGGGATGATGATGTCGATGTTGATGATTTTGATGACGATGGTGATGCTGATGAGGATGATGCTAATGTTGATGTTGTTGATGATGATATGATGATGCTGTTGACGATGCTGGTGATGATGAGGATGATGAGGAGAAGAGGAGAAGGAACAGGAGCATGAGCAGGATCACGAGCTGCAGCAGGAGCGAAGACCGACGTAGGAAGGATGAAGGAGGATGAGGAGGAGCAGGAGGAGAAGGAAATGATGCTGATGATGAAGACGATGATGCTGATGATGAGGATGATGATGATGCTGATGATTATTATGATGATGCTGATGATGCTGATGCAGATGATGATGATGTTGATGATGATTCTGCTTATGCTGCTGATGATGCTGATGCTGATGCTGATGACGAGGCTGCTGCTGCTGATGATGCCGCTGCTGCTGCTGATGCTGATGCTGCTGCTGCTGATGATGAGGATGATGATGGTGATAACGAAGCTGATGAGGCTGATGCTGCTGCTGATGCTGAAGAGAGTGATGAGGAGGAGCAGCAGGATGAGGAGGAAGATTACAGAGACTTTGATGGTGACTGGCCCCCTATACGATTGGATTGAAACGAAGAAAGATTGCCACTGGGAGCCGTTGCTGACTGGACAGTTGCCAGTCACTGGGAGGACGTGCGTGACTCAGGATAAAAAGGGTAGCCTGATGGTCAAGGATGATGGAGCAGCGGGTCTGGAAGAAAGAAGCAGGAAAGGCAAGCAGGAGTAGGAGGAGGATGAGGAGGAGGAGGAGGAGGAGGAGGAGAAGGGGGAGGAGGAGGAGGCGGAGGAGGAGGAGCAGGAGCAGGAGCGGGAGTAGGAGCAGGAGCAGGAGGAGGAGCAGGAGCAGGACCAGAATCGAGGACCGACGTGGAAAGAATGAAGGATGAGGAAGAGGAGGACCAGTTTAAACCCAAACGTTGGAATAAACCCTCCCTCCAAGCTCCCTCTTCATGGGCCCCTACAAAAGTTCATTTTCATTGAAGGAACTGCCTCTTTGGAAGAAAACCGTCTGAAGACCCTGAAGCATGCAAAAATATGGCTCTCGGGAGTCCAACGCCACAGATCAACCTGACTCTTGCGTCTTGACAGTCCTGAATCGTGCCAGAACACCGTTCCTAGGACTCCAACACAGCGAATCAACATAACCGTTGCACCCGCATAACCCTGAACCCTTTCAAAACACAATTTCTGACACGTTGATGATGGGAACCCGTGAAACTCTTGAATTTGTTAAAACGATAACGCGCCGCGCTAAATCGAGAACCACATTTCGAAAACGACCCGCCCTCAATCCGTGAAGCTCTTCTAGTTGTTACAACGAATGTGCGCCGCGCTAAGGCAAGAACCACATTTTGCAAACCACCCGCCCTCAAGCCGTGTAACTCTTGCATTCTTTACACCGGATGTGCGCCGCGCTAAATCGAGACCCACATTTCGAAAACGACCCGCCCTCAATCCGTGAAGCTCTTTTAGTTGTTACAACGAATGTGCGCCGAACTAATGCGAAAACCACATTTTGAAAACGACCCACGCACAATCCGTGAAACTCTTGCAATGTTTAAAACGAATGTGCACCGCGCTAAGGCGAGAGCCACTTGAAAACCACCCGCCCTCCATCTGTGAATCTGTTGTCACATCTTAACCCTCAGAATCATACGTAGTGAGGAGCTCCCAGCCGAAACGCCCGGCCCGCCCTAAAAAATTGCCTCGGGGTGTGATAGGGTGACGATATTTAGGAGGAGTAGAAATGGAGGAGGAGGAGAAGGAGGAGGAGGAGGAGGAGGAGGAGGAGTTAGAGGAGGAGTTAGAGGAGGAGGAGGAGGAGGAGGAGGAGGAGGAGGAGGAGGAGGAGGAGGAGGAGGAGGAGAGGATGAGGAGGAGGACGAAGAGGAGGACGAGCAGGACGTCCCAACCCCCGTGGCGCCTCCGAACCACCCATGGTCCTCGCCCTGCGCCGCCCAGCGGTCGCCCCACTCAAGCCCCTCTGCCGGGCACTCCGCGGCCGCGCACTCCTCCCAACCTCGGGCGCGCCAAAAGCCCAGGCTGGGCGGGTTTCGCGACAGTTGGCGGCGGGCACAAGGGGATCTGGGGGAAGGGGAAGGCTACTTAGAAGGAGGCTGCTTCTTAGAAGGCGCGGGCCTTCTGTGTACAGATCAGGCCCGCGCCTTCTAAACCCCAGGGGTGTTTCTAAGAAACCTTCCCCATTTCCCATACCCATCTTCCGTGCGCAGTTTTGAATAGTTTGAACAAATTCAAGAATACTTGCAGCAATTCGAATATTCGGCAATCGAAGCCTTTTGAACAATTTAATAGTTTCGATGCTTCAAATAATCAAACTGACTCGATCACTGTGAATCGCAATCCCTTCATTTGAACAATTTTATGTGTTCCCAAATTCGTGTCGTTAACGTAATTGCACATAACCCAAACACTTGAACGCATTGACATGTACTGTATTTTGACCAAACCATTACTAGCGTGTATTTTTTTGAGATGGCTAGATATCCCACATGGTTCGAACTAGAGAACGAACGCATATTTGGCATATGGCGAAACCTTTTCATTAATTGAAATCGTTGCGTTGTTTAAATTACTACATTATATGGTTCGAAACGTTTGATATTCGAACTGATCAAATGATTCAACTTTCTTGGATGTGCAACTCATTCAACTGGTCAAAATTATCCCAGTTCGACCCCACCTAGGAATTGGAGCCTCTAGGAAAACAACATTCGTAGGAACGGTAAGGGCTCAGTATGGCCCACAGACGGACAACATGCATGGAGCATACGTGCGCACACACCCACACATATATGTACATATATGTACACATATATCGCAGCAGCAATAGTGGATGCTGTGCTGCGCTATGCTATGCTATGCTATGCTATGCTCTGCTCTGCTCTGCTCTGCTATGCTGCGCAATGCTATGCTGGGCTAGGCTAGGCTATGCTATGCTGCGCTATGCTATGCTATGCTATGCTTTTGCTTTGCCTTCGCTTTTGCCTTCGCTTTTGCCTTTGCTTTTGCTTTTGCTCGGCGCCCAGGGAGCGCAGCTGGGGGAACCACGCGTTTGCTTTTACTTTTGCTGTTGGTTTTGCTTGGCTCCCAAGGGACTGGGGGAACCGCCCGGGGCGGTTTGCACTGCCCGGCCCCTTTAAGCCAAGCGAGTAAGAACCCTTCTAGGCAGGGCATAGGTAGGGAATTAAACGAAAGGAACGATATCACACATGTTTAATTTGACGACCGATGTGCTTCTCAAGAAGTTCTTCAACGTGTCCCACTGTTGAAGTATCCGTTCTGGACAAGGCACGTGTCAAGTCCCTTCTATCGGACTCGAATTTTCTGTTGCCCGTCATGGCTACGGTAGGCCGCGAGTCCATCATCGGAAGCTGATAATTCATCTTTGGACTAGACAATTCCCATCTGTCTTTGTCGCGAACTCTGATTCTGAGTTTCCCGGAACTGTCGATGTATCAATACCGTCACCGTGCCATCAACCCACAATCATTTTCAATATCGTTCTCGAAAGCATATGCGGCATATACATATCTTACGTATTGCTTCCTAGAGCAGTTGAATACGGAACATCTTGCAATCCGCTCCATGAGCATTTGAGTTCGACATGCTTTAGAACCTCAGTGAGGTAAGGAACACAAGCATAAGGTTTGTTGATTCTATATCTTTTGGCGGCTTTTAACTGATATGTGGTCTCCTTTCCTCCGCTGCTGCCGCTGCTGATGCGCGAAACAATTCTCAACTGCTGCTGCTCTCCCGTTTTTTTTTTGTTGTTGTTTTTGTTGTCTTTCCGGTTCTGTGCGCTCTGCGCAAGACAAGTCTCAGTCTCCCTCCGCGGGATCGAATGAGAATTCTCCGTTGCCCATAATTTTAACGCAACGGTACTCAAGAACTCCATCGTCGGAAGCTGACAGATCGGAAACTGCACAAGACAGTCTTTCTTTTTGGAACCGGACTATAATTCTGCGTTGTCCACGATTACCATGGTCAATGCCGTGCCGTCGTGAGACGCAGAAGCGTGAACAATTTATCGCTACCGAAGCTACCGGTTTTACATGATTACTCGCTTCCCCAATCCTTGCAAATCCTCCCACGTGGCAGATGGCCCGTAATAGTTTATTCCGTTGGAGACATAACCCCCAAACGTTACCAGCCTACCCAACAATAGAGGGAAACTAATCACAATTCGCCGTGCCGGCAACCAGGCGCAATCAGGAGTTCTACTGACAGTGCTAGGCAAGCGACTTTCAATTCAGTCGTGAAGCAAAATGAAGCAGATATCTATTGCGACTATCATGAGAAGATCAACGAATCCTCTCGCATGCAGCAAGAATAGAATATCCCGCGGGATAAAATAACCTCGAAACAGTAACAGTCAGCCCGATAATCGATGCAACTAAATCTCTTATTGTTCCCTCAAATGTTGGATTGGTTGGGTAATGCTTGGGTGTTGTGTATTTCTCCAGCAAAATGTATCCATTGTGGGCCATCTTGCACGCGGAGGAATTTCTAGGCAGCTTCTCATGAGGATTGTTATGCAAGCGTGCTTCGCTTTGAACAATTCTGCTCTTCTTTCTGATTCGCGAGTTTGCTCAACCTCGCTTGCCTAGCATGGCTAGCGAAACTCTTGCTGGCGCTTGGTCGGCGCGCGCGGACACATGGTAGTATGTTCTGTCTGTTGTTGGCGAGTGGCAATGTTTGGGCGCTATTTCTCCTGCGGAATACTCTCTTGCGAGAGTGTGCGTGTGTGTGTGTGTGTGCGTGTGTGTGTTTTGAGCATCTTCTCGTGAGGTGCTTAAACTGGGAGTTTGCTCAAATTTGCCTGCCTAGCACTGCTTCGCAAAACTCCTGCTGGAGCCTGGTCGGCGCGCGCGGCGACGTTGGATTAATTTCGTTGTGATTTTAGGTGGTCTGGATAATGTTTGGAATGGTCCATTTTGGGGTACCCTGCGCGCGATAGGATTTGTGAACATCTTCTCGTGAGGATTGCAATGCAAGCGTGCTTCGTTTTGATTCGTAGGTTTGGTCTTCGTTTTAATTCGCGAGTTTGCTCGAACTCGCCTGCTTAGCACCGCTGGCAGAATTCCATTCCAGATGGCGCCTGGCCGGCGCGCGCGGCGACATGGGGTTCGTGTCCCTCTATTGTTGGACGGGCTGCGTGATGTTTGGAGGTCATTTCTCGAGCGGCAACCCATTGTGAGCCATCCCCCACACGGGAAGATTCTGAGCATCTTCTCGTGAGTATTGCAATGGACAGGTGCTGCTCTTTGGTCCAAGAATTTGTTCAAACTCGGCTGCCTAGCACTACCGGACAAAACTCCTGTTGGCGCCTGGTCGGCGCGCGCGGCGACGTGGGATTAATGTTGGGTGGGCTAAATCATGCTTTGGGGCTATTTCTCCAGCGGATTAATCTACTGTGGGCTACGCTGCACGTGGGAGGATTTGTGAGCATCCTTTCATTGGGATTGCAATTGAAGTTGTTTCGTTCATATTTGCGAGTTTGCTCAAACTCGCCTGCCCAGCGCTGCCGGCGTAATTCCTGCTGGCGCCTGGTCGGCGCGCGCGGCGACAAGGATATTATTTGGAAATGATTTATCCAATGTGGGGCATCCTGCGCGCGAGAGGATTCTGAGCATCTTCTAACGAGGATTGCAATAGAAAGTGTTTCGTTTTGGCAATTTTCTTATCTTGTCCTGCCTGTTAATGCACGTGAAGCTCCTTCTCGTGCCTGGTCGGCGCTGGTGGCGTGGTGGGATCAATTCCCATTGCTGTTGGGTAGGCTGGATCATGTTCGGCGGTTCTTTCTCCCGCGGAGTCGCGCGCCCCGGGCTGCCCTGCGCTGGCCCCAATAAGGGGGACGGAGTGGAAGGAGGAGGGGGGGGCAAGGAGGAAGAGGGGGGGCGGGCATGAAGAGGAGCAACGAGTGGGAAAAGAGAAGAAGGTGGAGAAAGGGATGAGGAGGAGGAGGAGGAGGAGGAGGAGGAGGGGAGGAGGAGGAGGAGGAGGAGGGGGGAGGAGGAGGAGGAGGAGGAGGAGGAGGAGGAGGATGAGGAGAGGAGGGCGAAGGAGGAGGAGGAGGAAGAGGAGGAGTAGAAGGGGGAGGTGGAGGAGGAGGAGGAGGCGGAGGAGGATGGGGGAGGGGGAGGAGTAGGAGGAGGAGGAGGAGGAGGAGGAGGAGGAGGAGGGGAAGGAGGATGAGGGGAAGGAAGAGGAGGAGAAGCATGATGAGGAAATCAAGTACAGGGAGGCCTCTTTGAGGGCAAGACCCTGCCGCGTGAGAGTGCAATGAAGGGCCCGAGCTTCAACGGTCCTTTTCAGGATGCAGTTTCCCAGAAAACGTTTCTGAGTGCCACGTGTCTGAACCAATCTTTTCCATGAGAACGCTGCTGGCGGGCGCTGGGGGGAAACATTGGAGGTTGTGCTCCCTTTATTGTTGGGCGGGATGGGTAATGCTGGGGGGATGTTTCTCCAGCGGAGCATTCCGTTGTGCGCTACCCTGCGCGCGGGAGGATTTGTGAGCACCTTCTCATGCAGATTGCAATGACACTTGCTGCGTTTTGATTCGCGAGTTTGCTCAAAGTCGTTTGCCCAGCGCTGCTGGCAGAACTCCAGCTGGCGCCTGGCCGGCACGCGCGGCGACGTGGGATTAGCTTCCCTATTTTTCGGGGCGGGCTGGGTAATGCTTGGGGGCTATTTCTCCAATGCAGAATTATCCCGGCAAAGCAACCTAACAGCGATGTGCAGGAGCATATCTGGAAGCATTCCCCTCAAGATTCAGATGAGAATCCAGTTGTAGAATTCTGCTGTTCTCGCAGTCGTAGTCGCATTCGCGATGACAGTCGCAGTGGCAACGGCAGTCACAGTCACAGCCTCAGCCTCAGCCTGCCTCAGCCTCAGCCTCAGCCTGCCTCAGCCTCAGCCTGCCTCAGCCTTAGCCTCAGCCTGCTTCAGCCTCAGCCTCAGTCTGCCTTCAGCCTCGGCGTCAGCCTCAGCCTGCCTCAG